GAAGTGAGGAGCAACTTTCAAATACGATAGACAGATATGTCCGTAGCATTGGACAGTAACGAGTACACACAGCGGTTGGCGAATGAACACTCGAAGATGAGTCACTGCGAGAAACTTGCTTGCTTGCTGCTTCAGTCAGTTTCTGCCGTGATTAAAGAACATTCGTCAACAACAAGTGCATTCGCCCTTTTCTCTTAAACTGGTCCTTTTCGTGATAAAATAATCACATCGCAAAAAAGTTGTGCAAGTGAAGCGTCTGACATAAACATGTGAGCTAGCACTACTTCCATGTGATTGATTATTTCCACTGGTTGGTAAATATGATGCTAATCGAAAATTTTCAAATGCAAAAAGAAGAATGGCGTCGACACATCCATCGAACATTTCACATGTTTTCATTTGCTGAACGCTAAATTTTGCCACTTAATGAACAACTTAAAAGTGCTCCGTCAAGATGAGAAGAGTACCATATGAATTCGACGATACATTTGCAACGAACAAACAATGAAATTTCACTGAGAAAGTTGCGCTTTTTCAGCGAGGACATCAACGAGTGCAGCTAGTTTTTGGTATCTGATTTTTGTGTCTGCTGCACATCCTTTGGCACCGAACAAAAATCTCAGTGCAAATTCCGTACTCAGAAAATTATCAGCATTTGTCACTGATGAGGCGTATTGTTGAATGGCTGTTGCTCGTTGAAATCGATCTGAATGAATGCACCATTCTCGACCCATTTCAAGCCACTTCCACAAACTCTCTGAAAGAAATTGAATTTCGCACAAAACTAAAATTTTTAGATACAACTTCAAATGATAAATCCAAGAAATTCTACTGAATGTTTCCGAGAAACACGTCAATGTTATGATTAGTACGATGGTTTTTAAAGTTGTGTGCACTTCTTGAGTCGTTGAATACTGCAATTTTTTCTTACACTTTTAATGCAGATTGCTCGAAACAACTTCTCGCAACATTTGTTGTATTTTCGAACGGATAATTTTATCGTTCATTTGAGAATGGCTGAGGGAAGCCAGAATATATATGATTAATGGTGTGATGAACTTCGAGAAATTTGCAATGAAACTAACCGATTTGGGCACTCAACGAAGTNATGTATGATTATTGTGGTATGAAATTCGAGAAATTTGCAATGAAACTAACCGATTTGGGCACTCAACGAAGTCATATTAAGAAATGCTGATGAAGGTGCGTTTGAGAGCAAATCCAAGAGCGGCTGTATGCAGGGAATCATCAGCGGACAACATTCTGCAGGGATCTCATCGCGTTGCTGAACGATTTGTTGAAACCACGGAATAAGTTTTGAATTGTATGTGCTATTAACATCATTCTCAAGATCCATCCACATATTTGCAATTGAGGATAGCTAAAATACAATTAAAATTAGATGAAAAATTTGAGGAAATGTGCATTTTTTTGTCAGCTTATTTTTTGTTTTATCACATGAATGGATGGTACAAGTGGGTACTCGTTGACAACTTATAGAAGAGCTGATATCGGCTGTAAAATATAGCAGATGAATTTCGAGACGTTCAATTGATGAGATGCAATTCGTTTCATTTTCTGTCATCATTCTAAATTATTCACACAGACGCTAACATTTCAATA